TATAAATTATATGCTTTAGTTAATACATCTATATCAGGGGCTGGTGAGATGGCACAGTGGTCTAAAGCACCTACTTAGAACAAGCTTAGCAAAGCACAGGGACTGCAGTTCAATCCCCCAGCACCACATGCCAGCCAGCCCCACCCCCTGGTGGGCTGAGCTGGCCAAACAAAATAAATAAATTAATTAATTAATTAAAAAATATATATGCATATATATATGTCTATATCAGTTCATCAATTGTAATAAATCTATCACACTAATGATAGATAGTAATAATAGGGGAAATTTACAAAAGAGAGTAGATGAGAACCTTTGGCACTATTCAGTCATTTTGGTCAAAGTTGTATATTGCTCTATTGTTATTTAGTTATATATACTGTTTATAAAAACATATCACTGACAACTCCACTTGTGAGTATACAAAAAGGAACTGTAAGCAAAAGTTTAAATAGATATGGATATACAAATACCAATGTTCATAGCAGTATCATTCACAAATGCCATGTCCACCCACCAATGGATCAATAAATAAATAAACCTGAGCTGAACAGGGTGCACACACCTGTATATTTAGCCTCCCACTGAGGCTAAGGCAGAAGGATCACAAGTTCAAACTCAACCTGGGCAACTTAGGGACTTAAACCCATCTCAAAATTTAAAACATTTTAAAAGGACTGAGGTTATTTTTAAAAGGGCTGAGGTTATATAGCTCAGTGCAAACCCCAGAGATCAAGTCAAGTCTTACACCCCCACACACACGCAAACACACACGTGCACAAGCACACACACACACACACACACACACACAAATACTATTCAGTCTTAAAAAGGACATTTTGCTGGGTGTAGCAGATGACACCTGTAATTCCAGCTACTCAAGAGGAGGAGTTCAGAGTCTGCTTGGGCAACATAGCAAGACCTTAAAAAAAAAAATGTTTTCAAATATGCTACAATATGAATGAAGAGAACATTTTGCTAAGTAAAAATAAGCCAGATACAAAAGTACAATACAAGATTCCACTTAAATGAGCTACCTAGGACAGTGAGATGGGTGGAGACAGAAAGTACAGTAGTAGTGTGTCAGAGAGAAGTCACTGTTAATGGATATAGGGATTCATTTGGGAAAGATGAAGTTTTGGAGAGGAATAGTGGGTACAGTTGCAACAACACAATATACTTAATATAACAGAACTGTACACTTCAAATGTGAGAAATAGTAATATATAATGTATTTTTAACACAATGAAAAATTATTTTAAAAGTATTGAAAAACTGGTTACTCAATAGATCATATATTTCTTCATTTTACCATACATTAAAATTTTGCATGGAAAGAAAAACTTCAAATTTTTAGAAGAAAATACAGGAATATATAATTCCTATCCTGTGGTAGAGAACATTTTAAGCCAGACACAAAGACAACTTAAAAAAGAAATTTTTCATAAATACGGTATCAAAATTCAATGCCACAGTTAACAAAGAGAAAGGAAAAGTCTCAGACTGGCAAAATGCATTTGGAATACATATATCTATCAAAAAAATAGCATCCAAAGAAGCCAAACTGTTCCCCAGCAGGATGAACTCTGACTTAAATCTATAATTGAATATATTTAATAAAATAGGTGAAACTCTTAAAGTCTCTGACACAGGCAAACTCAACTGAACTCCAAATGTAAAAGAAACAACATGAAGAATCAAATGATACTTTATCAAACTAAAAGCTTCTGTAGAGCAAAGGAAACAACCAACAAAGTGAAAAGACAACCTACAGAATAGGAATAAATATTGCCAGCTACAACTCAGAGAACTAGTTTCAACTAGTTATTTAGTACATAAAGAACTTTAGCCCAGCGTGGGGGCACGCACCTGTAATCCCAGCACTTGGAAGGCTGAGGCAGGAGGGTCACTGAGAGTTCAAGACCACCTTGGGCTACAAAGTAAGCTTAAAGTCAGCCTGAATTGAATAGTAAGACCCTGTCTCAAGAAAACAACAACAAAAGAACTTTAAAAATTGTTCCTAGACCCCCATAGCTCAGTGGCCTAAGCGGCTGCCTGCAAACACAAGGACTCACATTTCATCCCAGCTAGGGAAAAAAGAAAAAAGTTGCCCCCCCATAAAAGACCCAATCAAAAAACAGTCAACTGACATGAACAGGTACTTCTCAGAAGTACAAATACATGAAACTCTGTTCAACATCGCTGGCCATGAGAGAAATTTGACCTAACACAACACTGAGATCTTATCTTACTCAAAAAAAAAAAAAAGAAAAGAAAAAAAAATGGCTATCATCAAGAAATGAAATAATAACAAAAGCTGGCAAGCCTGCAAGGGTTAAAAAAAAAAAAAAATCGCCTACACTGTCGGTGTAAATGTAAACTAGTACAACCACTATGGAAATCAGCATGGAGAGTAATCCCAGCACTAGGGAGGCTGAGGCAGGATCTCTGCAAGTTCAAGGGCCACCAGGACTACACAGTGAGTTCAAGGACAGCCTGTACTATATCCTGCCTCAAAAAGCCTCCCCTACAAAATTCAGTATGTTAAGCAGGCGAGATAGCTCAGCAGACTATGTGCCTGCTTAGGCAAGCACAGGACTAGGGTTCGATCTCCAGTACCGCCTGCCAAGCCAGCCCCACCCCCAGGCGCACTGAGCTGGTGACAGAGTTCAGGCGTAGTGGTACACACCTGTAATCCCAGCACTGGGGAGGCTGAAAACAGGAGGATCACTAGGATTCTGAGCTGCATAGTGAGACCTTGTACAAAAATACATAAATTTTTTTTAAAAATCAGTATGTTGAGTCCTCCAAAAACTAAAAGTAAAAATTTCATTCAACCCAGCTATTTACTTCTAGAAATACTCCTGAAGTATTAAAGATACCATATTACAATGATACACTCTACCCTTGTTTATATCAACACAATTCATAATAGCTAAATCTTGAAAGTGGCCTATATATCCATCAACTGATGAATGAATAAGAAAAATGTGGAATTCATACACAATAGGGTATATTTTAAGTCACTGGTAGAATGGATGCCCCTTAAGACTATAATTGTATATGGAATAAATCAGACACACAAACTTAAATATGACATGGTTTCTCTTATATGAGAAATCTAAAATCTAAACCAAGAACAAAATAAATCCCAGCATTTGAGAAGCTAATGCAGGATAACTGCTCTATATTTGGGGTCAGCCTAGACTACATACTAAATTCAAGGCCAGCCTGAACTCCATAGTGAAACCCTGTCTCAAAAAAGAAAGATAATAGGAAAAGAAATACAGATCTTTTGCAAATAGAAAAAGGACCAAGAAACAGAGTAAGGGAGCCTTAAAAAGAACTAAGATGTATACCAGCTCCCCATAATGAATGTAATCATATGTACTACAAACACATACTAATATTTTTTAAATTTTGAATTACTGTTATCCTTATGTTTTTACACGGAGAAACTAAAGCTATGAGAAATTAATATCAAAGACATAAATGGCTAACCAAAATTTTATGAATTCTGATTTTCTAAGTGAAAGTAGAAATTTTGTCTCAGATAAACTTAGTGGAACCCAAAACTACCTGGACTGCATAACCCCCTTCAAAGGCAATTCCACTTATGCCTGATAAATCTCCTCAAAGAACTCATAAAAGGTCAAGTTTTAATTTGGCAGACAAAGTAACCTAACAGGCACTGCAACCCAGCGAACAGAAGCATGGAGCTGGAGAGTCCAAGGATGAGGATAGAGCATTCCACCGCCTTATAGGAGAGCAAACACACAAACATCTAAGATCCAAGAGCCAGGATAAAAACAAAAGAGTTCTCTAGATAAAAGCACACTTCTTCCTCCACTAAGAAGCCAATGAGCGCAAGAGCCCTGTCTGGGCTACAGAATGAGTTCAAGTCCAACCTGAACTGCATAGCGAAATCCTGTCTCCAAAAGAGAGAAGGTATAGAAAGTGATGATCTTAAGCAACCACCCAAAAGGAGACAGAAGCTGAAGCCCATCAATCATGCCTAACATTACAATGACTGATAACGCTCCATATAAAAAGTAGCAAAGGCTTGCTCATTCATTCATGCAATAAGCATTCATTCCATGATTGCTGCAAGATGGACTACATCCTGAAGATTTGGCAGTGTACAGTGGAGGAGCTTAATTCTAATGTGGGAAGAAAGGGAATTTGCCTTTCTCTTTCCCAGTCTTCCTCACTTCTTGAAAGGTCACACAGATGAGCCTTTAAAACGCTCCCAAATTCGTCCAAGATTTCTTTGATCTTCTTGCTTTGTCCAAAACCAAGCAAGTTACCAATCTCACAGTACTGGGAAAAGACCAGAGAGGCCTGAAGTGACCAGGGATTGAGACATAAAATCCAATGCTGCTTTGTATTTCAATGCCTACTACCTTCAGGGCCAAAATTCTCAGCTTCTCAACAACAAATCTTGGTTGTGTCTTACACTATTTCGTGGCTCTAGTGCTGACTACGGCTGCCTAAGAGGGTGATTAATCAATAAACGTTTGCTAAGAATGCTGGAAGGTCTTCTAAATCCCAAGGCCCAGCACAGGAATTGAATGGTGAGCTTGTTACATCCTCCCTACGCAGGTCACTTCGGCTTACCCAGCATGACTTCAGGTACAGATTCGCCGTTAGGCGCCTCGGGAAACAGCGCTTTGGGGTGACCTGGGATAGATTCCCTTCCCTCTGCCAGGGCCTGCCCGCCTAAACTGCCCTCTGCCAGAACCTGCTCATTCTCCCCCTTGGGCACTCGAGGGCTCTGGCAGCATCAGCCCGACGCCTAGAGCCCCGGCGCGCCGAACCCTGGCAGTCTCCGAGCTGCTCCCGAGCCCGGCTCCGCGGGCCACGGGTTCACGATAGGGCCGAGCGCGCCGCACCCGCACCCGCCCCTCACCCCGCGGCTCTTTGGTCGGGAACAGCGCGGGTTCCCTTCCCGCGCCTCACGTGCGTGAGGCTCCAGCTCCGCCGGCCGCCGCAACTCCCACCTGGCTCTCTTCCCGGCCGGAGCTGGAGGCGTCGAGAAGATCTCCGGCGGCCACAGCCAGCTCCAGCCCGGCCCCCTCGGCTGAAGCGGCGGCGGGAGCGCCCTCTCCGGCCCCGAACGTCTTCAGCTCCCGGCTCGCGCGCAACGAGCCCGCCCCCAGCGCGAGGCCGCGAGGCCGCAAGGCCGCCAGGGCGCGAGGACCGA